CATTTATAGTGTTTTAATACCAAACCTTCAAACTGAAACTCGTTAAAAACTCAGGATGTTTGTGTTCATAAAACTGGTTTTGTTTTTGTTCCTCTGGGATGTTTTACAGCCAAACATGAARTTCTGATTTTATCTCTCAGATTGTGACGTCAGATTTGTGAGTCTGTCCCGCAGCATCAGCTGCAGTCAGAGACTTCTTAAATTAGACGTTTTTRAAACGGAGTCTGGTTACAGTTTAGTTACATGAAACCTCCTGGTTTTTAGACATAAATCGGGTGTTTTTACGACACTTTTTGTTGCTCTCACCTGTTTTCCCTCCGTCCTCCTCCAGCTCAGGCTCCACGCTTGTTTTATCCAACATGTTGAGTTTCAGATCAAACCCGTAAATCCATCGTGAGTTCCTCTGAAACGGTTAATTCTCTCCGCCCGTTTCCCGCTTTTTAAACCCKAAAAAAAAAAAAAACGGAAAGAAGCTTTGAAGTCTTGTGAAACGGAACAAACTCGGGTCCAAACTGTTATCGGAACCCGTCCAGAACCACGTCTCAGCACCTTCTCGCTCCTCTCGGTTTGTTTTGCTCAGTATTTATACAGCCCGCCAAGCCCCGCCCACCTGCGTGTCCCCCGTCCAACCAGCGGAGCGGCGTGTGCGCAATGTTTTGAACGTGCAGCCAATCAGCTTTGAGTTTCGGGTCATTATTATTCAAACCGCGCGGCGGAGAATTCGCAGAATTTCGGCGCGGTGAGGGGGCGGGGACAGCGCGCTGCTGACGGGAAACAGCGGCTCGGTTTCCTCTCAAACACACGCGCGTGCCAACACACACACACTGTGTGCACGCGCGGCCACTTCCCTGTCACAGTTCTGTTTCCGCTCAACGAGGTGGCGCGTTCACGAGCGACGGAGAGTCGGAATTCACAGCATCCAGAGGAGTTTCTGATAAAATGTTTTATTATTTATTATTGATACAACATGTTTTATAGTTTTAATGTCCATACTGCACCCTGAACACTGTTAGTGTCTTAAATATATACTTATTTTATTTTTATGTGTTTCTAAAATATRAGTATTTTACACATATTTTCAGTTCCTTGTTTTGTTTCAGTTGCAGTTTGAAAAAAACACGTTTAATGTTTTTATATTTTATTACTGTGTACTGATAACTCTTCTGATGAGCTAATTTAAAAGATGACTACAGGATACAAAGGTCAACAACACGCAGCCTGTTTCTGCAGAGGGTCATTGAACGCAGCACCAGATCAGCTTCCGCTTTACCTGACAAGAAATGATGAAAACCATCAAAAACACATTTAAACTGATAATCTCCTCATTGATGTTTTTTTAAATGTTCTGAACAATAAAACTGAGACTGAAGAAATAATTTATTTAGTAAAAAAAAAAAAAAAAACTGCAGGTTGAGTTTGCAGATTTTTATAAAACTGCTGTCATCAGGTAATAATCTACATTTAATCTGTGCAATTTGTTTTTTTTTATTATGTTCAGGCTTCAGATGATTAATCTGTCAACAGGAACCAAACTAAAAACAGATTTAAAGTTTAAGTAAAGATCAGTTTCCACTGAAGGCAGCTGAAAACAGCAGAACTGAGAGCTGCAGCTCATCTTCCTGAAGCTAAACAAGCTAAACTCTCGTTTCAGTTAAACTTATAACCAGCTCTGCTTCTCAACATGAACATGAATGTAAATGTTTTAAATATTTTATCAGATGAACTTCCCTCTTTATTAAAAAAAGGACGTGGAGGAAAACAAACAGTAACAGGTCCAAAATAAAAGATGAAAACATTCAGACGTCTCTCAGAAACATTATCTTCTTTTTATTCCAAGAAAAAAAAGTTTTTCATCCCAAACAAGAGAATAAAAT